CAACCAATCACAGCGGATGGCCCCGCCCCTCCCTGAGCCTGGTTCTGCTGGAGGTTTCTTCCTGTTAAAAGGGAGTTTTTCCTTCCCACTGTCACCAAAGTGCTTGCTTACGGAGACCCGCGAGGGACATGGGAGAAAGAAAAATGAAGATGAACTTTTGCGAGCACTTTTGCAAATATAGACAAATATTTGAAGTTTACACAGCCCGAAAATATCTTAGAAGTTTATTTTGTGACCATTTATGAGTGATAAGAGTAATATCAAAACTAAGTAGCTGCTGCCATTGTTGGAAAGGATAGGCTGGGCCAGGAAGGATGCATTTGGAGCAGCCTTCGAACTGGGACTGCCTTCGTCGACTGGCTCGTCACCTATCCCAGAATTCATAGCGCGGCCCAGTCAATTCCAGTTTCCAACAATGGCAGCAGCTACTTAGTTTTAATATTACTCTTATCACTCACAAATGGTCACAAAATAAATTAGTAGCATATTTTCAGGCAGAATGTAGCTGTGTAAACTTCAAATATCTGCTCGGTTTATCAAGACATCGCATATTTGAAAAAGCGCTCCGACGTTTTCGGAGACGTCTGTTACCCAGTTTGATGTTTTGCGAGATCTCGCAAAAGTTTTGCAAAAGTTTATCTTCATTTTTTTTCTGCCATGTCCCTTGCGGGGCTCCATACTTGCTCATAGGGGGTCATATGATTGTTGGGTTTCTCTGCATGGATTATCGTAGGCTCTACCTTACAGTACAAAGAACCTTGAGACGACTGCTGTAGTGATTTGTCAGGGTAAAATTGAATTGAATATAACAAGTGTGTGTGTCTTTGTGTGTGTCAGATTCACCCTCGGCCCGGTCTCCTCTCCTTTCACCTCCTCAGAGTCTCCTCGTAGATCTGCCTGTTTAACAACAGCAGGATGCAGTTACACAGCTTGATCTGCAGGGGGCGACACAGCTGCGCTCTGATCCTCCTGCAGATCAACATGTAATTCACTCACCTAACAAATGTTAAAATAGAAAGCACATTGTCAATATTAACAGTAAAAAATGTCTGCAGTAATGATGTACTGTTCTTTTACTTTACTTTGCTGATGTTTGAGTATTTTCAGCAGAATTTTTCTCTAAAATCTTCCATTGTCTTATTTTCCAAATATGCATCTGTGTCCGAGTACTGCGTGCAGGTATTTTCCATGATATTCCAGTCTGAGAGAAAGCGGAAACTGAAAGATTATTCAGCACCGTGGACAGCTCCATGGATTTCCAGCACATAAAGATTTGAAATCATGCACTAATGTCTGCTGACGGGAGCTTCAGGTTCTGGACGTTCACATGATGATGTTTCACTCACGGCTGCAGTCCGTTCTCTCTGCTGACTGTTGACACTCCCGATCTCAGTCTGAGAGCTCGACTGAGAGACGCCCTCGAAGAACGGCCTGCGGGTGGAAAACAGCCAGCATAGTCACCTCCTCACACCTCATTTTGACTGGAGGTCAAACTTCCTCTCCAGCTTGACGAGCTGTGAGCGCAGACAGGTGTGTTTCAGGCTCACCTGAGCTTGGGTTTGGGAGTGCTCTGGATGCTGTCGTTGTCGTCCAGCTCAGGGCCGCTGTCGCTCGGGTTGTAAACCTCCAGGCTGTCGTACAGCAGGTCCAGGTCCTCCTCGGCCTCCTGACTCTGACCCACGGGGTCCGAGTCCAGAACCTGCAGGAAACGAGCCAATCGGGTCACAGAGGTCCTACTTTTTACAACTCATGTCCTACAAACCAGGTTATGGTTTTATTTTCACTGATGTCAGCAGCAAAGCTGTGTTTGATGATCCTGGGTTCTTCACTCAGAGAACCCAGAGGTCCAAGGAAAGCAGAGAGGTGATCCTGAGGACACCAAACCAGAAACCCTGCACAACTTAGCTGTTCCTACAAAGTTCTACCCAGAACGGGCGACTGTCACCAGGAACCCAGTTTAAAATAAACAGCTCTACCTGAAGTTCCTCCAGATGGAGTTTGAAGGTAATGTGCTGAGTACCAACCTCATCACTGACTTTGAATCTCTTTAGCAGAGCCACAAACTTCTGCTTAAAGTTGGGCTGCTGAATGACAGAAAACAGAAGAAGAGTGAAAAACACAGCTCCAGCCCCTCGACCATCAGCTGCTCTGATTGGTCCTTACCTGAGTCAGCGAGGATGTTCGGATCATTTTCCTGTGAGACTTCTTAATCTTTCCTCGGACATCCTCGTCATCATCAAACATGTCCTGAGGGGAAAAAAGAGGCTCGTCGAGCATTTGTTCAGGTGAACAGTTTCAGTAAAATCGTGTCGTGGTTTCATAGCTCAGTGTGGTTCATTGTTGCTCCTCTCGTACACCTGTTGTTGATTTCATCACCACAGCAGCTGAAACTGTTTGAAACCCCGTCTGTTACTGAACTGACCACATCAACATCCCCGAAGTTTAACTGATTCATGCTGGACTCACAGCTGCTTTCATTCTTTTCTATTTCAATGATTATGTGTGAGACAGGTGAGGTCACCTGAGGCAAGACTGCGTCGTCACTTCCTTCCTGTTCAGAGGAGAAGCTGTCGTCATCGTCCTCCCAGTAGTTCTCCACATCAGGAGAGCGGTCTGTATACACACACACAGACACACACACACACA